AGACAAACACAGTATAAATAGAAAAATTGATTTTCCAGAAATTTATAAAGAATTCATATCCTAATTGATTGTAAATAACTATGTATATACTTTTAATTTACTCATTTATTACCCTTAAAAATTTTATCATTAATTTAGAATTAATATGTATGCACACAATTATTTACGGTTACACTGTTATATATTAATCTCTGATTCAAGCACAATGTGTAGACAAAATAATAATAATGGTATTTATCTGTAATAATGTATATAATTATTAGCTGTATATATATACTGAATGTAATGTTTAAATCAAAGATACAATTCTTTCATTGGCCTTGTAGAACGAGAGTGGTGTACACGTGCGCGCATGCTTTAGTGAAAACACAAACATCCTCGATAAAGAGAGGCGAGTTGCCCCTCGAAATATTGGAACAATAAATTCATTATAAATCCAATATATGCATCTTTTTTAAAATATATATATATATATATTATACTTTAAATACTCCGATAGTTTGAAAAGGAGTCTAAAACTACTTTTCACTGTGATTATCATAGTCGGTACCACGTGTAAAAGAGGTAATAATAAAAACATATCCCAAATATACATAGGGTACATACAGTAAACTATGGACATAAACTTATAGGACAGTTAACTTGAATGTCATTTCTAAGATTCCACCCTTCAGTGTAGCATATATAATCAGAATCGTCCAATACAGTCTTAGAGCTCTAAGAAGCTGTATAGTATATTAAATTGTCGAAACCGCTGGGAGGGTTCACCACTGATGAGTCAAGCAATCCCAATATTTTTCATCATAGTAAGGACAGTAGAAATTTGAGTTATGTGTAAAAAAGAAATCTCTACTTTAATGTTTTCCTTTCCGATATACTTTACATTACTTGTAAAATATGATGTGTGGATATTATTTGTGGAAAAAATACACGCATACACAAAAGCCTTTATTAAGACACACTGGTCTTATAGAGGATTATCCCCGAGATTACAAGAGAGATAGGCCTGTGAAAGTGGGGAATATAGAGAAAAAGAAAGATTATGTAAGTATGATATACACATTCACATACATATATACAACATAACAACAAAAGCCCCCATTAAGACCCAAAGTCATACAAAAGACTCGACTGCAGGATCCAAGAAGCAAAGTAAGAAAGAGATAATTGTGGAAAGAAATACATGATTTAAGAAGAAGACAATTTCTTTTTGTATAAACGATCGTTGCTGATAGATTATGCCATAAGTTCGTTTTATGTATAAAAGATACATTAGGTGATTTATTATTTTCATTTACTCTATTTAGATTAGTGCGTTATAGTTTTATATTAAATAATTCATATCACAAACACGTAATACATTAGAGATATCTCGAATCAATAGAAATACATTTTATACCTTTCACCTTCACACGTCTAAAATTATATATATATATATATGTGATAATTTGCCTGATGCCCAATATGTATAATTTATTTTCACCATAATCAGAATATTAAAATATAAATACAAATTATTCCATGTATAAATCTGTACAAAATAAACGTGGGAGCCAGCGCGCGCACGAGTGTGGAAAAAGTTCCTTTACGAAGCTTACATGCATAACGGTCGCGCCCTTCCATTCGACCACGACAGATACGACATATATATATATATAATAGAGAAAGAGAAAGAGAGATTTTTAGAAATTTAAACTATATTATGTGTGTGTTTATAAATATTAATATATCATTTATAGAGTATTTATGCTGATCTTTCTTTTTAATTAAGTAAGAAGCTATATAAGAAAAAAAAACGAAATTTGAGGTTATTTTATTATGTATTTATAAAAAGGCTTGAATAAATAATGTATTAATATTTATAAACATAATATTTAAATTAAATATATTTTATGTTTATAAATATTAATATATTATGTATTCAAATTCATACATAAATACCTAAACTTAAATTTAATATTTTTTTAATATAGCTTTTTACTAAAGAATAAAGAAATATCTGCAAATTATTGGAAGCCTGGTTATGGAAAAGGTGTCATATTTTGGCAACAAAAGACATAAATTATGAAATAGTTTAGGATTTTATACCTTAATATTTTTCGATAAATTTGTAAATTATTTTATGTTCGTAAAATTTTAGACTTAAGTTTATTTAAAACTTTATTATTTAACTATTTTATCTTCTTATATTTATGTTTTAAACATTATCTTAAATTATCTTTTATGCGTAAATTTTTTATGAGAGTTAATTCTTCTATGCTAAAAAATTGTTTGAAAAAAAATAATGTTATAATTATTTTTTTATGTTTAAACACTCCATAAGGATTTAATTTTAAAATTTGAAATGTGTTTTCTTGTTGTTTGAAAACTTATTTTGTGAAATATATTACTATTAAAATTCTTGAAACAATTTATAAATTTTGTAGACATTTTGAATAGAATTAGAAAGATAGTTATACCACAATAATATTCTTTACTTAAATCAAGTATATACAGTACATGCATTTATAATGATGAATAGAAGACACTGATTTTACTGTAAATATACCACATGGGTTTATCCCTATATATATATAAAAGTCAGTGTATGTATGTGTGTTTGTTCCTATGTCCTCTATACACATCCATTATCCAATATATTACTTTTTATTTGAAGATTTAAAATGTTATAATACCTTGATAAAGGTTGGCGTTCAGCCAACTGAAATTTTGGTAAAATAAATGATATTTTGATCCAATATATGCCTTTTTATTTAAAGATTTATTCGTGGATTGCTCTATTTTCAAAATAAATATATATAATAATTCATTTTCTAATATATATATATTGATAGAAAAATAATAATCAATATATTTATTATTAAAATTCCTAAGATTTGTTATTTTTATTCTTTATATAAAAATAAAGAATGTACTTTCAGTAAACTAATATATTGCGGTAAAATGGGTTAGACACTTTTGTTTTATTCCTATTTCTTCCTACAGACCAATTCCTGGAATTGATGTACGTTGAGTCTGTTGTTTTGTTTTCTTCGATTATCTATATAGTATTGCTATAGTTTATTCATCTTAAATAATAAATTTCTAATCATATGATATAAAACCTATATACGAGGTTGTTCAAAAGGTATCGCGACTTTTGAATTTTCGCGGGTTACGTATATTCGAATTTCTATCTTTTTGTGGCTTTATGTTGGTACTCATGTCTCTCACCTATGCCGACAAGCTCGGCCATTTTGAATGTTCACTTAATTGTTGACAGCTGCTTTGCTTGCAGGTGTTTTGGATCGTCTTCGATTTTTACCTATTAAAAAAATGGATCAAAGAACCTGTATCAATTTTGTGTGGAAAACGAAATTAAGTGCGCGGATGCATTCCGAATGTTGACTGTGGCATTCGGAGAAGCTACCTTGGACCGAAGCAACGTTTATCGGTGTTACAAAATGTTCTCAGAAGGCCGAGAAGATGTGAACGACGAAGTGCGTGCCGGACGCCCGAGCACTTCAACAACAGACGAAAAAATTAATGAAGTGGAGAAAATGATATTGGCCAATCGTCGAATCACCGTTAGAGAGGTTTCTGAGGACCTAAACATATCGATTGGCTCGTGCCATTCGATTTTTTATCAATGATTTGGGCATGCGAAATTCGTACCAAAATTGCTCAATTGCGACCAAAAACAGCATCGCATGAACATTGCTAATGAGATGTTGGACTCTGTCCGCGACGACCCAAATTTGCTCCAGAGGGTCATAACTGGTGACGAAGCGTGGGTTTATGGTTATGACGTGGAAACCAAAGCTCAATCATCTCAATGGAGCTGCCGCACGAACCAAGACCGAAAAAAGCGCGCCAAGTTCGGTCGAATGTGAAAGTTTTGCTGACAGTTTTCTTCGATTGCAGGGGCGTGGTGCATCATGAGTTCTTGCCACAGGGTAGAACGGTCAATAAGGAATATTACCTGCAAGTTATGCGCAATTTTCGCGAAGCAATCCGCCAGAAACGCCCGGATTTGTGAAAGAACAAAAATTGGCTTTTGCACCACGATAACGCCCCTGCTCACACATCGTTGCTTGTGCGCGACTTTTGGCCAAAAACAACACACTAATGATGCCTCAGCCACCGTATCCCAAGATCTGGCCCCCTGTGACTTTTTCTTGTTCCCTAAACTGAAGAGGCCCATGAAAGGACGACGTTACGCTACGCTTGACGAGATAAAGACGGCATCGAAGGAGGAGCTGAAAATTTTTTTTTAAAATGATTTTTTGAAGTGCTTCGAAGATTGTAAAAACCGTTGGCACAAGTGTATAATATCTCATGGGGATTACTTTGAAGGGGACAAAATAGGTATGCATGAAAAAATCAATAATTTTTGAAAAAACACAAAAGTCGCGATACTCTTTGAACACACCTCGTATGTTATGAATATAATGTTTTATTGTTATTTTTATACAAAATAATGCGGCCTATGATTGTAGAACGACATTTGAAAATATCCCGTGTTTATAACTTCACTTCCTAACATTCACTATAACATCTCTTTATACAACAACAAACAACAACAAAGCCTTTATTTAGGGCCTCTCGCCCTATACAGCATTCGCCAGTTCACAAGGGATGAGGAGAACACTGTGTGGTCTTTTTCCGGGATATAATCCTGTGGAATCCAATTATCGCCACCGCTATATACCTATTCTTTGATATTTCATTAATTAGTGCCGGAAATGAAGGACAAAGTAGCCCCCGTTTTATCATTTAGTTTTCGTCTTTCCTCAGACAGAGGCACAATCAAATAAGTAGTGCAATATCTCCATTGTTATTCCTGATCCACAGAAAGCGCATTGCAGGTCTTCACACTCATTAAAATCAGATGGTGTTCTCTGAAAAAATTGAAAGGGTTCTAAATTGCGCGATTAATCTGATGTCAGGAAAAGGGAGTTCACTTGAGAAATATTCTTCGGTGGTAAACGTTGTATATATGTCTCTATAGTGGGAATATGTCCAGGGTAGGCTAGGAGACATGGCATCTGCCCGGTAAGCGGAACACTGTGGGTTCGATTCCCATCCCTGGACACTTCATTTTTTCGTTTATCATTACTCTTCACAATTCATCCTTTCATACTTCATCCCTAAGGTTAGAAATAATCGTTATTTCTCCTTAAAATAAATTTTGATTTTTCGTTCAAAAGAAATACATGCGGGATATTTTCAAATGTCGTTCTACATTAATGTTTTATTGTTGAAAAGATAGAGAATTGAAGGTGCAGTCGATATAAAATAATAATAAAAAATTATTAATTTATCAAGTAGTTTTTATTTTCAATTACTTGAATCAAATTTTACATTAAATATTTATCATATTTATATAGAATTTATAAAATTATATAATCCTATATTAGTGAATTATAAAATATAGGTATGTCAACTATACATATTTACAACAATATTCAAAAGTGGTATATTCTAAAACTATGTTCAAAAGAATGTAAAAGAGTCAACAAATGAAAATAAAACATTCGTTTTTTTTTAAATAAGATATTTATATTTTTAGATTAAATAATTTAATATATATTGTTGCACCAGGTTGCGGCTTGGCAGACTCTTCAACCTTGATTCTCTCTTGTGCTGGGTCTTGTATCTTACCAGAGCGTGTTTCAACCATCCTACAAATTTATATAAGGGAATAATGAGATAACTTCAAGTAGCCTCCAGAATAATTTATTTATTTCTCACATCAAAGAAGCAGTGAAGTCACACAGTGTACCTAAATACAAATGATGATTCTATAATTCATATATTCTGTTTATAATACATATATTCTGTTTAATAAAATAAATAAATATAAATTTGAATTCAATATATATGAAAAATAATATTACAGATTAAAATAAAATAGGTTCATTAGCCATGATGCAACAATATTAAATTTTATATTTCAAAAAATGCATATATTGGATTTATAATTATTTTATTGTTCCAATAGGGGCAACTCGCTTCTCTTTATCGAGGATGTTTATGTTTTTCACTAAAATATGCTAGCATGCGTACACCACTCTCGTTCTACAAGGCGAATGAAAGAATTGTATTGTTTTAGTTAAGTTTTTTAGATAAAGAGAGGCGAGTTGCCCCTAGAAATATTGAAACAATATAATAATTAAATTTAATTGCCATCTATCGTTAAAATTTTACACAAATAAATTTGCTGGCAATGCGTTTCTTTTAAATATCAGGTCTGTAGAGATAATATTTGATAATATTTAAAAGAAACGCATTGCCAGTAAATTTATTTGTGTAAAATTTCAATAAAATAATTATAAATCCAATATATGTATTTTTAAAAATATAATTTTAATTATGGATTGCTCAATCTTCAAAATATTTCAAATTGAAAAACCTTTTTTCAAATGTGTTATATCAAAATCGAATTAGTGTTGATAATCACATCAAATATGAATATATATTTATTTGTTAATCAACTTTATTGTTTTAAATGACTTTTTTCATATGAAGATAGAAATTAATTAGGAACAAATGAGTGATTTAATTACTTGCTAACAAACCTAATTTACATTTACAATGGAAAAGATTGGAAATATGTTAATTAGTTACAGTTCATCTTCTTCTCTTCTTTCTGTGTTCCAAGGATATAATCAAATGTGTAACTGATATTTTAATCTCCTGATATTTTTCAATACTATATATTTGGTTGTTATATTAATAAAAAAGCATTTCCTGAACGTGCTACTGAATTTTGCTGATGGCTTACGTCTTCTGTCGAAATAAATAGCAGTCAATCGTTGATTTTCAATTATTTAAATATATATGTAATATTGTTGCAATGTGCCGACGTATGGATGAACTGGCAGTCGTGAACGTGAGGCGAGTGTTGGTGTTCTTCCCACACGCGGACAACAAGAAGCAGAGGCAGGGCTGGATGTTAGTACATAGAGAGATCGGGGACAGCCCACGGGACAGAGGTAGAGGCCATGACACCAACTTCGATGCTTATCACCGAGACTTGGAGAGACCGACTGCGTGAGAGAGACAACCTGACGCGAACTGCCGAGAAACACCCCCAAGAACATCTGCTGACCCCCTGTCAAAACTTGTCTTGTTTTCAGGGGTCGTCTATAAAGAGTCCCTGAGGGCCGGCCCCACATGGGCGTTGGCATTTTCCTCCCCTCTGTCCCCAGCTGACCGCTCTTTGAATTTTTATTTTGACGTCACCAATTTTAGTTTATATACAAAAAGGGTGTACAGGTTATATTAATAAAGATAAAGCATATATGCAAAATATGGGGGTGGTAGCAAATAGAAAGTGCCATTATTATACAGTTTTAAAATATACGATATATATATATGTATTTTTTTTTAAATAGAGCAATCGAAATTTAGATCATTATATAATATAAAAAGGGATATATTGAATTTAATAAAATATTTTTTTATAATCCAATATATCCCTTTTTATTATCAAATATATATATAGTATATTTCAAACTGTATAATAATGGCACTTTTAGTATATGTCACATATCTTCCAATTAGTTAGAGCCGATACCTTATGAGACCCTACCCTTCTATTAAAATGTACACCATTTCTATTTGCTACCACCCCCATATTTTGTATATATGCTATATCTTTATTAATATAACCTGTACACCCCTATTTGTATTTAAACTTAAAATTGTGACGTCAAAATAAAGATCCAAAGAGTGGTCGGTCAGCTGGTGGCATCTGGGGGCAGAGGAGGAAAAAGACAACGCCCATCCCAGATGGGACCCCCCTCCAGGGACTTTTATAGACGACTCCGGTAAACAGGGCAGGTTTTAGCAGGGGGTCAGCGCCATTATGTTCTAGAGTGAGTCCTGCGGCAGACGGCTTTTGTCTCTCTCAGTCTCTCTCTCCATGTCTCGGTGATAGGCATCCAAGTTTGTACCATGGCTTCTACCTCTGTCCTGTGGGCTGTCCCCGATCATTATCGGTACTAACATCTAGCCCTGCCTCTACTTCTTGTTGTCCGCGTGTGGGAATAAAAAATATAAAAAAGGTCAGGTATTGATATTAAAAACAAAAGAGGCATATCCTGACCAGGCTCACATGAGCATTTCTAGATGACAAAGCGCTATCTATTGGAGCAAAATTAAACTAAACGTTTATTTAACTTGCTCCTAGATATTTGGCTAACCCAATTTCTTGATAAATCAAGAAAAGTAAACCACGAACACGTTTCGGGCTGTTGACCCTCGTCAGCGTGGTGCAGACTGTACCTCTACGACCAAAATTTGGTCCCAGAGGCTTCCTGAGAAATCAAGAAATAGGTATTTAAGGCCAAGTTGGCGTAAATACGCTTTATATATATTAAATAAAAATTATTTCAAAAGTAAAACTGATAAAATTTCAAATTAACTGTCGATTTATTTATTTTTGTTTAACAGACATTCGTCTGGTATTAAAATAAAGATATATTGAATATTTTATTTTATTAAATATACAAACCTTTAATAACATAACAACCGAAACACTATTTAATCAAATAGTATATAAAATATTATTTCTATAAAAAATTTCATTTAATATCACGATACCTAAAAGAAAACGAGGAAAAGTGCTTTTATTTCCATCAAAATAGATTAAAATAATTACTTTAATAAGCTTCCATTTAGAAGAATGGATATTTTTATTCCTTAAATCAACATCATCGTTTGAATAATTGGTCAAATACTTTTAAATAAATATCAGAGAACTCTCTGAGAACTTTATTTAATGCCAATATTTTTCTTTAACCATTTTTATCAACCAAGAGTGAGAGAAAAAAATAATATAAAAAAAAACTATTTTCAAATTTATATCTTCTGTTTCTGATCTAATAAAAATTTGAAAGCTAAAATCCATCTCATATAATTAATTTTGTTTATTTTCTAACAAAAAAAAAATATATTTTAAGGATTTTCCAATTTTTATTTTACTCTATTATGGATCTAGGATTTATGGAAAGACATTCTCTATATATGAAAGAGAGAAAAGATAGTTTTAGAAAATAACTCTCATTTAAAATACTTTTGATATTTTGCTTCTTTAACGTGATAAATAAAATTGATGTGAAATGTTTTTATTTTTTCAAATTAAACTCGAAGAAAGTGAAATTGTCTACATTCCGAATATTTTATTTAGATTACATGGCCTTTTTTATTGAATACATAACTTAAAATATAAAAATCTTCATGATGTACTTTCACGATAGGATAATATACATGCGTCCTTTAGTTAAAATTCAAATAAAAAACGGCGAATCTTGGATTAAAAAATAAACTGGGTTTATTGCATGATATTTTTATGATTTGAACGTTTCTATTTTATAAAAAAGTTTCCTTTTTAAAGGTATTATTAAAATATCAATAAGAGAATTAACAAAATACATTCTTTTATTGTGTAAATAATAAAGATTTCGAGTAGAAATGCTCTTTTATTGGCTTATAAAAGCAGTTAGAGATAATATGGATTATTTATAACAATCGAATATTTGTCTACATAGGTATGGATAGGTATAAAAGACAATAAAGGATATTCAAATCAATTATTATTATGGGTATTTAAAATTTTATGATATGCTTTATATTTAAATTAGGAACTATATGATGCACTAGCGCGCCATCTGTTATCAAAATTCGAAATTATTTTAAAGTCGTGAGATTCTTTTTGAAAAATAAACAATTTCTACTGCCCTTACTTCAAGGGAAAAATTAATGGGAGGGCCTGGCTCATCACCCTCCCAGCGGTTTCGCCAGTTTAATCTACCATTCATCAGTGGTGAACCTACCCCGCGGTTTTGACAGTTCAATCTAGCATTTATTTTTCTCTTGCAGTAAGGGCAGTAGAAATTGTTTATTTTCGAAAAGAATCTTACGCCTTTAAAATATTTAGAATTAAGGAAGTATATATTAACAAGATGTGTATTGACCTGCTATATGTTAAAGAAAATTTCAACTATTTATGCCACATATGTGATTTCTTTAAAATAAATAACTTTCTATTTCCCTAATTGAAATAATAGAATAATGAGAGGGCCTCT